TAAGTCCGCAGACACACCGCTGTGCTACTGGGGGGGGGGGCGAGATTAATTAACGCAAAACACTAAACATATGTAACCTAAATATTTTCTCAATTGTCTTCTTGTTCAGGCTCATCCCAAGTAAAAATTTTTCTATAAAAAATTATTATCAGTTTGTATTCAAATATAATGTTTAGTTAGTTATGCAATATTTTATTATTTGATTGTATTAATTATAAGAAATTCGCACCTGGTCTTTACTAGGACTACCACCTACATCATGAAACTATTTTCTATTAAAAAATGTAACTAAACTATAATTTTTGAGACCAGCAAGAATATATGAAATGTCTCTTATTTTTGAAATTTATATTGCTTGAATTATGAAATATATTTGTAAATAGAAAACAATTTGAATTTTTAATTAACCAAACATCTCTTTTGGTTTTGTGTTATTAATACTAAGCTAAAGTGTCATAGATTGTTTTTGATGACCTCTTATAGAACAGTTTCTTTTCTGCATTATATGTTTTAGAAGATTTAACTTAAAATATCTGTCAGGTTTTTATGCATTTAGGGGCCCGATTCTTTACAGTGATCTGTGATTTGTTAGCGATAAATTTGAACACTAAACGGACAGCACACCATCCACTTGTTTTAAAATGATATATTCAAAACAAGTCAAACGTATGTACAAAAATTCGTTGCACTATAGGATGTTACAGAACTTTAAATAATTGTATCATTTTCGTCAAAGTCGTATAATGGATATCCATGTAAATATAAGCCTTAATAGTGCCGACACAAGAAATTATTAAACCTTGCGAACAACAATTCAAAAACTTTTTGTGTGTATTTTTTTATAGATTTAGATCAAAAACAAAGTTTCTACAAAGTCCATATAAAAAACTCAATCGTAGTCCTACTCAAGCGTGATCAAGAGCTCAAATATAACAGTAAAAATGATTTTCATTTACTCTTTTTTTGACTTGCTATGCAAAATACAAACCTTCTCAGGTAGAACTCAGTCTGTTTAACAATTTAACATTTATTGACTTTTATTGAGTAATTATATGTATATATATCTTTAACATAACTGTCGTGTAATATTGACATATGTGCATGTTATTTATTCAAGGTTTTAAAAGTAAACACTCTATCTAATGATAGTAATAATTAACACATAAAATCAAACAATTGAGAGATTACAAGATAAATTGTTCTATAGAGTTTGAACCAACCACCCACATTAAGAACTATTTGTCAAAAATATAAAGGAGTTCTATTTTGCTTGGAACGAATAGAAGTTGGAAAAGTGACGTTGGTAGCCCAAGAGTTGATGGTGGGTGGTGAACTAGCTGCCTTCCCTCTAGTCTTTCACCGTTAGATTAGGGGCGGCTAGAGCAGATACCTCTCGCGAAATTCATAACAAATAAACAAGAGGGTATACTTGAGAGGCGTTGTTATTGGACGGCATGTGTCTAGAAATATTCGCAGTCTAATAACAGCACCTTCCAAGTAGACATATTTTGTCCATCTATTACATAAACAAGTGATTAACAGCTGTCACTCATAATTAACCGTTCTAAAGTATAGGGAACTTTAGATTTGAACTCATCACTAACAACAACAAAAACTGTCAAAATAATTAACTCGAAAAATATACCTCAAAAACAAAATAATGATTTAACTGTAAATCACCAAACTATTGAAATTTAATTACAGTACTGTAGAAATATTCTGTTTAATTGAAAATAATTTTACTTAATATACTTAATTAATGAAGAACTCTCCATTATTTTACAATGATCATGTAGTGTGTCAGATGTTTGCTTGAAGCCTAAAAAAATGAAGTGTTTTATATAATAAATTATATGCTATCACATTTATTTCTTAATTAACCACAACATTCGTTTATAAGTAAATCTTTCTCTCTTTATTTTTTATTCATGAAGTCTGTTTTTATTCACTTTTAAACGTCACCTTATATGTGTCATACCTGTCTAGTTGTCGCCAATGTAGTTCTATCTACCTAGTTTTAGTGAATGGCCATGAGATTACAGACCCTTTAACCACTTAAGCTAGGGCTGTCTCTAATCGGGTTCACCTGATTATATTTTGCTGAGCTAACAGACGCGATGACTCTTGTCAGGTCACTTAGGGCTTTGAGACTAGATTTTCTTTGAACTTTAACGCCACGGTCTATGTGGTAGGAAGTTTTGTGTATAAATTATACATTTAAACGTTGTATTGTCATGTTTATTTAAATTAAGTTTTTCAAACATCTTATGTCTGTTTTACTTTATTTTTGTTCTGTGTCAGTAAACTTTGAATTGTTATTTGTAGGTCATGGTATCGGTTTAGGTTATTTCAACTCCATTCTAAAACTTATTAAACCGACTAAATACTGTAATTCTTCCACTGTTGCAAACTTACTTTGGAGCTCTTGTCTTACCATAAAAGTATAGATTTAGTTATATCATGATAAATCTACAAGTCAATGGATAATAGCAAGGATCCCTCCAATTATTCAGTTATATTATAGTAAGTACCCATCTATCAGTAGTGTCATATCAAAAACTATACCTCTGACCTGTTGTTAAAAAGCATCTGTCATTAGGTTCTATTAAAAGCGGCAATGGAAATTGAATACATCTGTCATTAGAAAAAATATGTTGATTACTCAGTCTTATTAAGAAGTAAAGAAGCCAGGCCATGTCCAAATTGACCGATTCCTTTAACATTGTTATAGGACCAGAACCGTTTTATCCAATGGGCAAAACGGGCAGTTGTTTAGAGCCCACTGCCGCAAGGGGCTCACCGCGCGTTGCGAGTATAATAATAAATGGGCCCAGCACGGCCAGGTGGTTAGGGCGCTCGACACGTAATCTGAGGGTCGCGGGTTCGAATCCATGTCCCACCAAACATGCTCGCCCTTTCAGCCGAGGGGGCGTTATAATGTGACGGTCAATCCTACTATTCGTTGGTAAACGAGTAGCCCAAGAGTTGGCGGTGGGTGGTGATGACTAGCTGCCTTCCCTCTAGTCTTACACTGCTAAATTAGGGACGGCTAGCGCAGATAGCACTTGTGTAGCTTTGTGCGAAATTCAAAAACAAACAATAATAATAATAAATAATTTAATACGAAGTGTATGATATAATAATAAACTAGTTTTTAAAATATATTTCCTATTTTTATTTCATTAATTCATTTTCTTAAGCAAGGGCAATCTAGAGAGGGGGGAGGGACAATTAGTTTATACTTCGCCAACGGTCCACCAGTGTCTTAATGCGGTACAGTATAGGACAGCTAAAAATTTTATATCTCATGTGTAAACAGAAAACACAGCTTCACTGGTGCTCAGAATGCAAATATTTTGTTTTGATAATAGTGTATAAAATGTCACACCAGGCACTTGACTCATCTTATGTTGCCTGACAATGCAAGTCATTGGAAGTAGTGTAATGGTGTGGATAACAAAATATTCGCTTCAAGGTTTGGGATTTCTTGGTTCCTTTAGATCGTCAAGTAACATTTAGAGTATACATTTTCACCACGATAGGTACTTCCAAGAACGATAATAAACAAACGCCACAATCTTGTTGTCTAAAACTGGTTAGACGAGCAAGAAAGATGACTTTTGTCATTTTAATTGAGAAACACAATCACAGAATTTCAATCCGAATAGCATTTATGGGATGAATCTCATCACATTATTCATCAGTATCCTTTGCAACATCTGTGAATTAATAACAGACTACACTACTAGACAAATGGGCAATGTTATGAAAAGATGTCTTCCAGCATCTTGTAAAGTCTATGCAATACTAAGTTCGGAATATTATCACAGTGAAAAATGGTTAAACCAAAAATTAGGACAAGGTCCTGTTAAAGTAGCCTTTTATTGTATATGTGTGCAGACTTATACATACATACGTACATATATTGCTTTTCTAACAACAGTATTGGGACAGCATATCTTTAGAAAGTGTCGTGTTTTGTTATTGGAAACCCTTGAAATGAGGTACAAGATCAACTATCAAATAAATCACTCACATTGTAGCAAGCGTCCAAGTATAGTGAGACATCCAGTTGTGTATTTTATGTCTCTCAGGCCATTTCCCAAAACTTACCAGAAAAGTACAATTTGATTCTGATAGTTGCTCTTGGCTAGCCAGAATATATTCTCTATGCTATTTGTTTCAAACGACCGTTGCATATAACATGTTATCATGATGAAATAAATATGATCTTTTCCCATAAAATCACCTCAAAGAAGGTATTTAAATATTATTCTGTTATAGTACGACAAGGCATTCGTGTGTTGTAAAATTCATCACTCCACATGTCTTCCGTTTTTCCTCGCCCTAAGTTTGAATACACAATGAATGTTGCCACCTTTCATTTTCTGTGTGATATCTGATGTTTTTAACGTTCCGTTTCAAAATTCACTTGGACTGAAGAATGATTAACGTAGGCAGTTAAGGCAAGACATCCATGCGTTTCATATTTTATGCATATAACACTTTTTACTACCTTTATGAATATACATTTCGTCGTCTGTCTGCCCGTATGCATGCTTTCAGCGTCTTTGCGGGGTACTTGTTTTGTGCAATATAATTTACAGGGTTATATATTAGTATTTCTCACCAATTAACCTGTATGTTAGCCACAAACTTACACATCAGGTTAGATTCAATTACCTGTATCATCAACTTGTCAATCATCATAGTTACCTATAAGTAAATTAACAAATTACTCATTATTTTAGTTGTAAAACCTACTTTTTTATAAACTAATGCATGTACCCACAAACAAACCACTAATTTACACATTACTTTCCAATTTACGTGTAAATAAACTATTTGCTTGTAAATCACTTTTTGACTTACCTATAAACAAACTACCATCTCATATATCAGTTTTTTACCTCCTTTTAAGTAAACCACTGGATTAAACGTAGGCTTTCAAATTCACTTGCAAATAAACCACTAACCTGAACACAAGGTTTTCTAATTACCTGTAAATAGACCACCAATTTACAGAGCACCGCCCCAAAGAACCATGTCTCTGTAACGTCCCACAGCACAGTAGGCGGTAGACATATGATAATAACAAGAAAATCCGCAAAGGCCAAATTGACGATGAAGTAATTGGTAACCGTCCTCATGGAGAGATTTCTGTATACAGAGAGACAGACTAGAGCATTCCCTACCAATCCAACGAGAAACACCATCATGTGAAGCGAAACCAAAACCCATTCGTATGGTGTTGGAAAGATATATTCTTCGATCATTTCAATGTAGTCGTCGTCAGGAATGCAGTAAAGGTTGGTGCAGGTTTCATTGACGTCAGTTAGGTTGTCACCATAGGATTCATTGGACTTAACTGGTAAACTTATGTCAGGCCATGTCACAACCTCATCAGATCCCAAGTCACCCATCGTGATTTTCTAGGCAATATATACATAAAAATAAATCATAGGAATAAAATTAATTATGAAACATTATGATATCATTACAGAATAACAAGTTATTGTATCTTGTAGATAGAGTTTGAACATAGGATTCGTTTTATAAATGACTTTCTTATTGGTGGTTACTCTACACGGTCACAAATAATGGTCTGCTACTAAACCAGATCATGTACATGAACTTCTAACAGATAATAATCTTACAAAATAAATAATAAAAATATTTTATTAAGCATATCCATTGAAACATTTTACCAACGCAAATATTTTCAATAATATCGATTGTTGTTTCTTTCTATCATCAACCTATCACAGGACCTTACGATAGAAATCTATCACGTATTCTTACATAGTAGAAATTATAGAATAATCTTACCAAATACATCAATCTGATATTCTTACCAATAGGAAAATATCAACGAATATTACGAAATATATCCCGTATAGACTCTTCCTCTCAATTATGTATAAAAAGGTTTCTAAACATTTTCCACCGATTCTTATCAATTAAAGCTATCAAAAGTATTTGCAACAATGTCTATCATAGCTTGTTATGTACACAAAAATGTCAAACACATTCATTGTAACTTCTTATTTCGAAGAATATAATATAGTAAAATCTACTAATGAGATCCAACTGACGTAGTCATCAAACAGTTTTCTGGGTATACTTAATATGCTTATGCTGATTTTTAACAATATGAAGATAGAAAAACTTTATTAAATGCAAATTTTTACCAAAAAGTTTCCTCAATAAATCGGTCGTAGGTTCTTACCACATGAAATTATCTATCACAGTGGATCAGTGATAAGTCTGAAGGCTTATAACGCTAAAAACCACACATCACAGATTGTGTAGCTTTGTGCTTAACAATAAACATCGTAGATTCTTACCTACATTAATGTATCAAAATATTTATAAATGCATCTATCATAGATTCGTGTGAACGTAAAAAAAAAATATCAAAGAATCTAAATTAATTGTCCCAAACTTGGCGCACATGCTCTGGTATCACGGACAGATGTCCTAACGGGGATGTTTATCCTACTTGGGGTATCTACAGTAGTAACTGGGAGTCATGGAGGAGCTTCATCGGTACATTGAATCTTTGTGAATTACTTACCATTACGTTATCAAAGAACCTTAATCTAACACAATTTATTACCGACAAGAAACTTTAAGAAAACCTTAATAAAGATAGCTACTAAGGATTTATACTTTAAAGTCAAATATTTTTACTCTGCCAAATATATCTGTAAAAGCTACAGATTGTATTATTATCACATATTCCTACAAATAAAGAGCTTTCATAGCCAACTAGTTTATACCCATCACATTCCCTTTACTAACATATCTACAATATATTCCTACCAACATGAAGCAAACAAAGAATCTTTCTTGCCATAACGACAGGAAATTATAACGAACATGAAGCCCCCAAAAGTATTACAAAATATATTCATCACTGCTTCTTATAAACAAGAAACAAATAATTTTGTTAAACATAAAATCGCACCATCGCAGATTACTTCCATCAGGAAGTTATGGATGAACCTTATGAAACATATCTACTACAAATTCTTATCAATAAGAAGCTTTGAAAAAAAAAGTTATTAAAATACATCTTGCACACATTTTTTTTTATCGACATTATGAAAAATAACTGCCAAAGGAATTGATTAAATTTGTTGTAATGCCTGAAGTACGATTTGTGAGTTGACAGGAAAAAAAAGACAAAACTCTAAAATCTGTGAATTTCAAAATCAGTAGGTTATTGAAGTGTTTGCTGTAATAATTATTTTATACGTTTTTAAATATTAGCAATAGAAAAAGTACCTTATGAAATTACTCCATTTAGAAAGTTTACATTGAAGGTATTGTTTATTTCAGTCTTAGAAACTTAAAATCTCTGCGAAGATAAAATGGTTGAAAAAGCAAGAGCAACCGTATCTTAAAAGACAGGTAAATTATGCTAGAGAATGCCAGTTAAAGTGGATTTTTCTCTGGGTACACCTGTTTTCCTCCACAACTAAATTTCGTGTATTGAGTATATTGGTTCTCTTTAGGCATTGTTGAATTCTGTGATTCCTTCTAGTTATTTATCTTACTCTGATTTTATTTTCCTTTAATTATACTGTATTTTATTTTACTATTTTTTTACCTTCACTTCATTATTTTAGTTATATATTTTATTCAGTAACTTTTATTTTAATACTATTACTTATTTCTTCTTATTCTTCTTACTACTATTAGCTGAGGTCGAAAGAAGCAAGAAAACTAAACATCCTGTTGTCATTTTCCGACTTCCTTAGCGGCCAAGGCTCCACATTTTCTATTGTTTATGTTGACGGAGTCTTCTGACTACAGTGTACATCTCTTCAGTCACGAGTGCGGCGAAGAGAAATTGTCTATTCCTGGGTACTCTGGTTCTTTGAACCTAAACACTTACAACGAATAAACAAACAAATATCTTTCAAAAGACAGTCATTTTGGACTGACACTTGTGGGTTTAGAAGAATTCAGAGAGGAAATAGTATCTAGGCTAGATCAAAATTACTGTTCCTTAGGTGAAACAAATAATGGTATTACTTGGGTGTTCAGTGCTGTCTGTCAGCTTATAAATCCCCCAATAAATAAATGGATGACCAGAACTAGAAACAAATAAAACCTCAAGTGGACTGACGCTTAAGGCGCTCAACTCGCAACCTGCCAGTTGCGTCTTCAAATCCCGCCACCTAACGTGCTCGCTCATTAAGCCAATGCCCCCCCCCCCCGTGGCACAACGCTAGAAACTGGGTTTCGATACCCATGGTGGGCAGAGCAAAAATAGCTCATTGTGTAGTTTTGTGTTTAACTACAAGCAAACAAACAAATATTAAGCCAAGAGGGAGTGATAATAATCAATCCCACTATTCGTTGGTAAAAGAGTAACTGAAAAGTTGATGGTGGATGGTATTGACTAATTGCTTTCCTTCTTTAAATTAGGGACGGCTAGCGCAGATAGCTCTCACGTAGCTTTGCGCGAATCTCAACAAAACTAGAAACAACTTGCTTTTTATTTTGCTCCATATGACCTGAAAAAACAATAACATAGGATTAAATAAGCCAGCGACAAGTTCGAAAATTGTATGAAATTTCCAATTTAAATATAATACATGAAAGTCCTTACTTGTGTAGAATGAGAGATCAAAATTACAAGGAACTTGATTTTCACGACACCTCAACTCACTTATATCTCACTATTATGTCTATAAATTTATTTCATCCAATATCTCCATAAATATGTAGGAAGGAAAGGTATTATTACAATAATTAAATTGTATTAATATAACAATTATAAAATATTGGAAAAGGACCAGCCTGGCTCTTAATAACCTTTTATGTTAAAGCTCGCGTTATAGTAGCGATACGGATTGTCTAATAGAAATTCAATTTCAATTGAGGATAAACAATCTGTTTAACATGCTAGTAGGATAATTTCATTGGCAGATAAGTAGAAGATCTTAGTGTTGATTAGGTATGACTTATTTAATGAACAGGAACAAAATTAATACAGATAATGTATCTATGCATGCCTGTGGTTTTAAGAGTTATTTTTCTTTCGCAAGATAAAAAATACAAATACACTATTTCCGGCAAGTATCGGATACTTCCATCGAGTTACGTATAAATCATCTGAATTACTCAAGTTGAAGGTTGTTCGTAAGGTATGCATTCATCTACACGTAAAGCCAAAACTAAGACTAAAAGTGACAAAATAAATAAATAAAGTATTAAACTCTTAGTTAATAATAGGTAGACAAACAACGAATTATAAGCGTAAGGAAAGGATTTATTGATGGTGGAACATACAACATGTTTCGACAGTACTAAGCAATCCAAGGTTTATATATCGTTACAAAGATAATAGGGATTAAATGTGCCGGGAATGGTGTCAGCAGGTGACAGGATATAGGTAGAGGTCAAGTCTAGTCAAGTTTATGAACGGTGAATAGACCTTGTCAAATACGTCTAATGTCGCTGGGGCCGTTATCACAGTTTGGTGAGAGGTCATTTTCTTTGATGATTTCTATAGTTTCTAAACAGTCTCTTTCTTTTTTAGTTTTGGGTTGATGTAGTTAAACATACTCCATGTATTTTACAACCCCACTACATAATAAGAGAAATTTATCTTCTAATATTAATACTCAGAACGAGACAAAAAGATCATGACCCAGCTTCATCTCGCTTATCTTGATTAAGAATTATGAAGATTATGTGCCTTATATCTGTGTCATATGCTATTATAGAATATATATTAAATAACACATAATGTTTGAAATTCGTTATTAGAAACTCTTAATGTAAGCTACATTTAAAAATAGTTGAAAAGTTACTTTATTTGCTGACATGGTCAATTTTATCACATAACTTATTTGTGCGTTCTGATAACACAGGAGCACCAATGAATAACAAACAGTCCTCCGATAGGTCAGCGATAAGTTTATGGGCCTACAGTGGTAAATCCGGAGTTCGATATCCCGTGGTGGACAGAGCTCAGATAGCCCATTGTGTAAGCTTTGTGCTAAAACAACAAAAGTTTGACACAACTTAGAATAACAAATAAAGATAAAATTGATATAAATTATCATAAACGATTAGAAACGTTAAGCCACCATTTACCAACCGCCTGTAATAAATGAAATGCTTTCGTTTTGTACAGTTGACAGCTCCTTCTGACAGGTGAATTTGATTACATAAAATAATCTCGCTGTTCAAAAACAGATATTATAATGTTGATTACTTATAGCTTATTTAATCAACAAGTACAAAATTAATACAGATAATGTATCTATGCATGCCTGTTGTTTTAAGAGTTAGTTTTCTTTCGCAAGATCCTTTTAACTGACCTTTGACGATGGCCGAGGAAAAAAAAAAGAGACAATTTAGTGAAAGCATCTAAGAAATATATTTAAAAAAGTATGAAATG